GGGGTGCGGGCGCGGAGGGCCGGGGCAGGTCGAAAGGGCCGGAGTGGGGGCAGCGAGGGCAGCGAGGGCGTGGGGTGCAGGCGGGAGGGTCGCAGAGGGTGAGGGAGTGGAGAGAAAGGCCACCCGGGCGCGCAAGCCCATTGTCCTCTTGGCCCTGTTCTGCACCTGGCCCGGAGATTGGGGGAAGATGGACACACGCTGCACACCCACAGAAGGTCATATACTCAGGCAGGGGGCCACAAGAACTACACACATTTAAGCAACACTCAGGGAGAGACATACACACTCTTTACCAGGAACACAGACACACAACTTTCAAGAGGGGTCCCAGAGCCAGAGAAGGGCCAACAACAGACACTCAGGGAGGAACACACACATTCACAGAAGAACCCACTTAGACACACACACACAGACACACACACAGTCTGACAATATAAAGGTCTGTTGAACAAAATGTATTACAAATATGAATTTCCTTCTCCTTCCATCCCGTTTCTCCTTAAGACAGGCCTTCATTCTCCAGCATTTGCTTCCTTTCTCCCTCCAGTTGGTAGTCTGACTCATGCTTCAGAGCACAAGATCTGGGCTCTGGCAGCCCTCCTCTGCCTCCCAACAGCTGCGTGACCTTGGGCAAGTCACCTCACCTCTCTGAGCTTCAATCGACAGGAGGGCTGAGAGAGATAATATATGTAAGATGCCTGGCTTGTTGTTGGCACTTGGGAAAAGTTATCCGTTATGAGCCTGCTGATGCGTGGGCTGCTATAAAGACAGTTTTAACCAGCAGGAGGCTCTCTCTGAGCTGGAGCCTGTTGCCTCTGTTTTCTGGAACGCCTGAATTTCTGCCTCACTGCCCAATTGGGCTTGGGGGAGACTTTTCCTCTCCAGCAGGGTCAGCTCTGTCTCCAGGCCGGATCCCTCCCCTCCTAACCTCAATACCTACCATCTCAGCCTTTGAACTGCTGCTGGGATCTAGGCCAACACAAGACAATATCCTGGCAGGGTGAACATTGCTATTCAAGGCCTTTTTTTTGCCTTCATCTTTTCTTACCTTGGACTCCATCGTTTTTCTAAAGCCTTTCTTGAACCCAGTTAGCGGGAGCCCAGATCCAACTTTCAGCATCTGTCTGTGGCAAAGAACATCATTCCTGGGAGTCACAGAATCAGAGAGTCAACCAGCACAACTTGCATTTGAGTTTGAAATCCCCTAAGAGATCTCCCAAAGCGATTATTGGGATGGAACTTAATTCAGTACATCTTTACTAACTGCCCACTCTTATGCCAGGCACTGTGACCAAGGAGACAAGTATGACGTGACTACAAAGCAGGTGAGATATACGCCCCATATGGTGGTTGGAAGTGTTCAATGAAACCATAAATGAAAATGCTTTGGAAATAGCAAAACCTCTGCAATATATTCTTTTCCTTTTGCTATGTGTTAAGTCATAGTTAAACTCCCACATAACCTACTGATGCTCTCCAAAGTTTAGATGTTCCAAACTTTTCCCTTAAAAACAGAAATGAAGTTGTCCTTGTCTGTCCTCATTAGCTTAGAAATGCTAGGGTGAGGGAACTAGTCCTTATGTGTCTGGCCACTGTCTGCAGTTTGAATAGCTGTCTCCAACCTTGTGTGTTTCAGGCCTGGGTATCTTGTGTTAGAGTATTTTTCCTGCTATCTCTGTAGACAAATCTCTTTGACCTTCAGTATCTTTGTCATAATACCTACCTCCAAAAGGCTCTAGAGAAGATTATACAAGACAGAATTTATAAAGCACCAGCATAGGATAGGTTCTCAGAAAATAAACTTCCTTCCTATTTCCCTGTGATTGTCCGCACACACACATGCATGCCCAGATGCCAAGCCAGCTCCTGGACATCCCATGGTCACTGCCTACCTGCTACTGAAGTAAGGGCTTAGTTAACTTGAGGGTGGTATGGCTGGACCAACCTAGGCTGGCTTTGGGTTGAAAGAAGGAAAGAGGGAGGAAACTCTACTCCAAAGCTGACTCCTAAAAACAGGAGTAGTTATCCTGTATTTTGTTTAAGAATAAGCATCCTTTAAAGCATAGACAAGAAGGGATTTTTTTTGGAGGGGAAAGAAGCTTCAAATTTCCAAGAAATTTTTAATGCTGAGTCTCTCTGCTTAGAAAATAGTGTTTCTTCCTGTCCCCAATACTTTAGTGTCTGTCTTCCAGCCTAACGCATGCCCTCTTTGCTTTTCTCTGTCTGGTAGATAAAATCCTTTCAGGTCCAAGCGACCTTCCTAGGAGGTCCCTTGAAGGAACAGAAGGAAAAGCACAAGCACAGAGGATAAAAAGCTTTGAGACAGGCGTACCTGGGTGCAGATCTTGGATCTGTAACTCACCAGCCATGTGACTGTGGGCAAGCACATTATTTGAGCCTTGATCTCCTTGTCTATAAAATGAGTCAATGAGGTAAAGGATGAGAAGGCAAACAGGACTTGGCAAATAGTTAAGATTCAATAAAGAATGCTGCTGCTGCTGCTGCTACCACCAAGCACTTCTGAACTGTAGAGCAGCCCATCTTGGAGGCCCCTGAAGTCCTCACCCCTATAAGGACTCATTCAGATGCTCCCCACATTCCTGAGAACAGTCTCAGCAGGAACCATTAAACTCACTTGGCACCACCTATCTCACTCACCAGGGGCTATATCATATCATACCACATGAAAACAACTGATTGATTCCTACAGCACTTTCCATCCCTTGTCCCCTTGATCCTCCTAGCCTAAAGGTAGGTGGATATTATTTTTCTCCCTGTTTTACAGAGGAGACAAACTGAGGCAAAGTGAGGGTAAGTAGTCCTTGCAAGGATTTGAGCCAGGTTTGCCTCAATGCCGTGTGCTCTCCTTGTAACATACGAATCTCAAGCAGTAGTTCGAGGTCTAGTCTTGCTAAGGGGAGAAGAAGGGATATTTTCTAACTGTATGGCTGGGAAGTCCTCAGCACACACTTGCAGGAACTTTGTGAGCAAACAGATACATTAAGAAGAGCAGCTTCTGAAGATATTCTGACAGTACAGCAGACCACGCTAATTAATGCTAATGAGAGTTATGGGGGCAGACTAGACAGGGAGCCAAATGAGGGGGAGGTCTGCGTCCTGGCCACAGCTGACATCCTTAGTGACCATGGGCAAGATTCGGAGGTTCCTTGATCCCCACTTTCAACATAAATGGCAAAAAAATAGAAAGGTAGATAGATAGAAGCTCAGTTTAAGCAAAAAGACATCTGCAATTCTCATCATCATTACTTGGGCTTTGAAATCGACAGCTCAGAGACCCCCCACCACTTTTTAAAAATTTAAAGGCAAAACAGTATAACTTAATAGTTCTGCCAACTCTTTAAAAAAAAAAATCAGAGAACACAACACTGACTTTTTTTTCTTCTTTTTCTTTTTACTTTTTTTTAAATTTTGGCAAAGGAAGATTCAGTTCCTGGAAATGCTTACAAAATGATTCCTGACACTGGGAGGAGATAGTTAAAAAAGGAAGAAAAAAAAGACGACGAAAAATTACAAACATACATCGATAAAGGACGAAGGTGGAAAGAAAGAGAACAGACAAAAGAAAGAAAAGAAAGAACTAAAAGAGAGCGTGGGGGAAAGACTTTAATGGGCCCCAATTCAAGGAACGTTATCAAGTTCTCAGCATCTGCAATTCACAAGCCGCTCGCGGGTCGGGGCGGCGCAGACCCCGCCCCTTTCTCGGGTGTCGGACGCTCATTGGTGCGGGCGGCAGTCGCCGACCGGTGACTGCCCGAGGAAAGGTTGCCTGGGACACGCATCCCTGTGTGAACGCATGACGTCCCACCCTGGCGCCAGGCTGTCTGGGGCTGAGTCTTAGATCAACACAGCTGTGGGACCGGGACCCACAGCTGGGCAAAGGAGCGGATTCCTCAACAAAAAATAGGATTGTGAGAAAAGTTCTGAAACAAAAACAGCGCAGACAAAAGCCTTAATGACATCCTTTCATAAAAATAAAAAATGCAAGAGGGGGGAAAAAGCTGGTAAAAGGAGCAGAACTGGGAACAGAAAGTTCAGAGGCATTTGGAATAAGAGACTCAGGCCCCGCCACCGCTAAACAAGTTGCAGAAGGCCTGAACTAGCCTTCCAGTCCGCTGTTGGAAAAAGAAGTCTTTTGGGTTCAAACTTTATTCAGTGTTCTCAACCGTAACCTGTTTCTTTCAGAATTAGAATCTTACATTGAAGAGGAGAGGTCATTTGCTTAGAGGTCATTTGCTCCCCCCTCCCTCAATTTTACAGAAAATGAAGCCCAGGAAGGAAGGAAATTCCTCCAAGGCCACAATGCAAGTTATTCGCATGACCAGGACAGAATTCTGCTTCCTGATCCCACTGCATCCCTCTCCTGCCTGTGTCGTGGGCATTTCAGCCTGAAAGCATCTTGAGAAATAATGTGAAGGGGTTTTGCAAACGGCTGTACAAGCATGAGGCATTAGTGGTAGAAATGGAGGAGTGAAAAGGGGAGAGGGGAATCTGTGTGGACCTGTGGGCTGAGCATGCACCACTCAACCGGCCCCATGCTGGGTCCTCAGGCACCAAAAGACTAATAGATCTGATGGAGAAAGCATGCCAAGCACCTTGAAGAGAAGAGGCAGTCAATAATTACTTGTTAAAGGAATGAAGTAGGTCTAGTTAGCTACATTTTATAAATTGGAAAATTGTGACACAGAGAGATGACTTATCCAAAGGTCTCATTATTTAAGTAAAAGAGAATGGGGATTTGAACATAAATCTGCCTGGTCCTGAAGGCCATGATTTTTCTAGAACCTCCTGGGCTTGACCATTTTGCACAACCATGGAAGTCTGCATGATAGAAAAGCAAAGGGTTTTCTATTTGATCATTCAGGAGTCCTTATAGCCACCATTTTCCCTTCCCATGACTAAAGAGCTGGCAAGCTCTTCACTTGACATCTGTAGCATGTATAGACTGATATGTCCATTCACAGGATATTTTCATCCTCTTTCTTATACTAAGGCCAGCCTTGAAAACATTCATATTTCAGGAAGAAATCTTTTGAAGACCTCTTTCTTGGGACACAGAGCCCTGTGGTATGACAGCAAAGAACAAGGCTTCAGGGCTGGCCCTGCCATTACTTGTGGTGTGACCTTGGAAATATTTTATAGGTCCTTTATGGACCCTTTACCATCCCACACCTGCCTGTCCAAATTTCATAAAGCCTTAGACTTCTAGAGATGGAAAGGATTTAAAACAATCACTTAGCACCATTTTCCCATTTTATTCACAAGGCAACTAAGGCCAGGGTACCTGGGCTCTTCAAGATCACATGACAAATATTGACAGAGCTGGGATGTTGAACCTAGGACTCCTAATTCCCAGTGGAGTGTCCTTTTTACTCTATGACTATTTTGATACTCTCTTAACTCTGAGCTCCCATTGTCCTGTTAATCAGTGCCACATACTATAGAAGTCTCTCAATTGTTTCCTGTGTTAATCTTGTCTCCCCAAATTGTGAGATTCTTGAGAGCAAGAGCCACTTTTATGTGAAGCAACTTCATAAATATTTACCAACTGATTGATCGAGAAAGCAACCATTGGGGAATCCCACCTGGTCAGTTCCAAGATGGAAACCAGCAGACTGCAGATTCCCAAAAGTCCTGGGAAATGACAAGACAACAAGCAAAGAATACTGAATGCAATGTCCTGTTTCAATACGGGGCTTACTTGCCTGTCCCCTGGTTCCTTTCCTGGGCTCTCAGATAGAGCTGAAGCCACTTCAGCAGGCTAAGAATAATCAAGTCCAGGTGGCCTGCCCTTCCATATCAGAAAGGGACAGACAATAGAGTGATGAAATTACCAATTGTTTTCTGCATAGAGGTGTGTGGAGAATGGGGGGTAAGAGGGAAGGGAGAGTTAAATGATTCGCTGACCCAACTGGGGCTCCTAAGAGGGTTACATAGAAATCATCCCATCTGTCACCCCGTATTTAAAACCCTGTCCAAAATTCTAATCAAACTCACTTTCAAAACATAACTGGGCATGTATTTGGCTCTTTATCCAGTGTATGGGGCCAGAGGGTGGGAGCTCTTTTCCTTCCCCATGCAAAAAGCACGGATTCAAGCTGCTTGCTTTCTTTTTTTCTTTTTCCCCTGTTGCTCAAATAAATAGTGTTCTTTGCTCAAACCCCCTTTTCCTCCTCCTTCTGCAATCTCAGCGCCTAGCCCAAATCTGTTTTCTTCATTGTAACCTCAGCTTCACCGCAATTAATTTTTTCCCCCTCTGGTCACAAGATAATTCCTGACGCCAGTGAGTCTGGAGGTCAGAAGAACAGCAAATTGGGGAACAAGGCGGCACTAATTCCTTACAAGTTTCCCTTGAAAAATCTTTTGCTTAAAAAAAAAAAACTTTGCTGTTCAGGGATTTATGACCTCGGAGAACTGTGGGTTCGAACCAGTGTTGGGCTGTGGGTGGACTGGCAGGGGGCAGGGGAGCTCTAAGATCTGGGGCGCTGCCAGGAAAAGGCAAATTCTTAAAGTTAATGGTTTTAAGTGATTTTTTCAAATACTTGCTGGCAAAGAGGCCCGCCTCTCCCCAGTATCAGCGCTTCCTCATTCTTTGAATCCGCGGCTCCGCGGTATTCGGCGTCAGACCGGCCAGAGGAAGCCTGTTTGCAATTTAACCGGGTTGTGAACGCCCAGGGTCGACGGAGGCGGGGCCGAGGCGGGCTGTTTTGCATAGAGGGGCGTGCCTTCCAGGCGGGTTCTATAAATACAAACCTCCGCCAGCGTGCCCGCATTGCGAGCTGCTCAAAGGGTTCCTTACTTTAACTCTTCCTTTCCGCATTTCCAACCTCATTCTTCAACATGAAGGCGCTAAGTCCGGTCCGCGGCTGCTATGAGGCGGTGTGCTGCCTGTCGGAACGCAGCCTGGCCATCGCGCGGGGCCGCGGCAAGGGCCCGGGAGCCGAGGAGCCGCTGAGCCTGCTGGACGATATGAACCACTGCTACTCGCGTCTGCGGGAACTGGTACCGGGGGTCCCGCGAGGCACTCAGCTTAGCCAGGTGGAAATCCTGCAGCGCGTCATCGACTACATCCTCGACCTGCAGGTGGTCCTGGCGGAGCCGGCTCCTGGACCCCCAGACGGCCCGCATCTTCCCATCCAGGTGCGCGTGGGCGTGCTTGGGAGCCGGGGCGGGGCTGAGCTGAGTTCCAGGGCTGGGATGCTGCTGGACCCCTAGAACTTCCAAGTGCCATGCATAATTCTCCCCTCCTTTCTCTCAGACAGCCGAGCTCGCTCCGGAACTTGTGATCTCCAGCGACCAAAGGAGCTTCTGCCACTGACCTGGCCGTCCCGGCGCCTCCAGGTAAGTACCCACGCCTTCTCCCGGGGGCGGGGAAGGGGGAGGGCTGCTGCTTAAACAGCAATTCCTGGAAATGGTGGGCCCTTTAAGAGATTACCGCCCCCTCGGCTTGGGGAAACTGAGGCCAGAGAGTTGCAAGTGACTTGCGCGTGGTCACAAACGAATGACGGAACCAATTCCCATCCGATCGTTTCAACTTTAAACGCTCATTGTCCCTGTCCTCCTCAAGTGGCCAGAAACGTGAGAAAGTAGGCGCAGGTACGACTAAGTAAAATAGCCGGTCTGTTTGTAGCTTGCAGTCGTAAAAGGAGCTGTGTTTTCCTCAGCCCCCTCCCAACTAGTGTCAATTCTAAGAAGGAGGGGTGATGGAAGCTCCGCCTGTGGTCCTTTGGCGCCAACTGGGTGGGGGCAGCGTGGGGCGCGGAGTTATCAGCTGGAGGTAGAGACCAAGTTTCCTCCCTGGCGCCGGCCAGTCTGCGAACGGCCCCCGCCTCGGCGCACTCGGCGGAAACTGATGGCTCCCTGGTCTTCTTTCCTCCCCCGCCCAGAACACAGGTGCTGGCGCCCGTTCCGCCTGGGACCCCGGGACCCTCTGCTACCGGAAGCCCGAGGGCATGGATGGGCCCCAACCTCGCCCTGCCCACTTGACTTCCCCAAACCCCTGCCTCGAGGCTGGACTTGCGCCCGGGAGCGAAGGACTGTGAACTTGGGTGGCCTAAAGAGCCAGAGCTAGCTCTGGGCACCAGCTGGGCAACCTCCCCCAGCCCCCACCCCACCCTCAAGTTTTAAAGACTGTCTTTCAGAATATGGAGGTGTGTGTGTTGAGGGGGGGTGGCTGCTCTCCAAACTCTGCCAAGGCAGCGGTAGAGCTGGTCTTCTGGTCTCCTTGGAGAAAGGCTCTGTTGCCCTGATTATGAACTCTATAATAGAGTATTTAGCTTTTGTACCTTTTTTGCAGGAAGGTAACTTTCTGTAACCACGCAATGTATATTAAACTTTTTATAAAAGTTAACATTTTGCATAATAAACAGTTTTTAAACACTTGTGTATATAATTTGATTCCTAAAGTGCTAACACTCTTTATCACAAGGCTGAATTTGGGGGGAATAATGTCTTTCTTGGAGCTTGCGAAAAGCAAACTTGCTCATTCCCTTAAAAGGGAGATGGGAGAATAGCCAGTTAAGACTGGGGAAGAGGGGGGAGTAGAAAGGGCTCGTGATGGAGCCCCACAACCACTGGGTGAAGAGAAGAGCCTTGCCCTGTTCCCTCATTGTATAGGTGAAGGGACAGTAGGGAGGGGAAGTGACTGGTACATGCCCACCCAGCAAGTTAGGGGCTGAGGATAGAAATCGGGTTTCCCGAGTCCTAGTTGTTAGGTCCCTTGAGAGCTGTTCTGGTAAGTAGCAGATGGCTGTCCTCTTCAATGCCATTAATTATTCGTGATGTCTTTCTAGCAGAGGATATGAAAGAGGAGCCTCACCTGGTTCCCAGACGGGTGGTGGTCGGTGGCCGATAGACCCATTTCAGAGATGAATAAACAAACCTTTGGGCGTGGTTTCATTTCCCTCCTCATGTTCTCTGGTTTAGTTTATTGGGCTTCCAAAGTTGGAGAAAACTGAGGGATCTCTTCCCTCAAATCCCCAACCACTCTGATCAGAAGGATTTTGGTGCTGGCTGAGAAATAGGAACAAATCTTTACTACGCAGCGTTGGAACACTGACCTGAGAGTGAGAATTTGAGGAAGAGTCCCTACAGCCCTCATTTCTGGTATTTCCTTCCCGTAACACCTCCACTGGAAGCCTGCTCTGTAAGCATCTTAGCCCTATTTCAGAAATGGAGAAATTGAGGCTTAGTGGATAATGGGTCTGAGTGAGGTCTGTATAGACCCTTGAGAGGCAGAGAAGGGATTTTAACCTTAACCACAGTAACTGTAATTGTAGTGAACAGGAGCGGAACCCGCGACTGGCCATCCCATGGGGCCTAGTCTGAGAACTGGGCAGACGGCAAGACCCCCCAAACCATGCTATCCTCCTTTGCCCCCTATCTAGCAGTTCCTTAGGTGGGTTCTACCAGGCGCCTGGCCTCATTAGATTCCTGTTCATGATATGATCTCATCTGTGTGTTGGCCCCTGGCATGAGTTACTTCAATATTTCTTAACAAACAGGTCACGTCATTACCCTTCATGCCTTAACCCCAGTGAGTTTTCAGGGGTGAACAGGGGCATGCGGTGAGGAGGCAAACTGTCTTTGCTAACCATCCTCCTAGCTGATAGGTGTCCTTAACCTGTTTCCTGGTCTCCTCCAATGATCTGATGAAAGGTATGAACACACTCTTCAGAAAATAAACACACACACACAACTGCAGAGCAATAGCATACCTCCAATGCCCTGGGAAGCCCTCAGTCCCCATATGAGGAAATCTTGCTTCAAACAAAGTAAGTACAAGATTCAGGCTGGGTTTACCTTGGATCATTTGTTAGGGGTGCTGTGCTGGCTCTGGAGTTAGCCACACATGGGTGCAAATCCTTGCTCTGCTACATACTAGCTGTATGACTGCAAGCTAGAGACTGCCTCTATGGAGCCTCATTTTCCACATCTGTATGGATTGCTGATCTTGAGCATACAGTTATGATACACCTGGCCCCACATTATAGCATTAACTGCAGTGGAGCCAGGCACTTAACTCAGTATCTGTGCCCTTTCACAGCATGCTGCTTCCAGCTTGCTCAGAAATTGCAGGACTGTGGAAGGCTAAGAAGAACTGAATTGCTCATCTGCCATGTGGCCTTGAGCAAGCCACTTCACCTCTACAAACCTCTCTCCTCCCTTGCTCAGCAGCTGGTGGTTCTTGTACTGCTGCCTCCCTGGATAGAAGATAATGGTGGGAAAGTTCTTTGAAATGCATCACACACCTACAAGGTATTATTAAGCTAATTCCAAGGAAATTGCCTGTCAGGTCTGCTGAGACTGAGCTGTTCAGGTGGCTGGGACAAAAGCTGAAACCAGCACGCCAATTCATTAGTCATTAGAGAGTGAAAGCAGTTTGGCCCTAGGTCGGAACTCTCTGAGAGAGGCACTCCCATCGAGTGCCTACCAGGTGCCAGGCTCTGTTTTATCTTAATTTTTTCTAATCCTCACCATAACCCAGCAAAGTGGGTATCATTATTTCCATTTTACAGAGGAAACAGATTCAGAGAGGCTGAATAATTTGATCCAGGTCACACAGCAAAGAAGTGACACAGCAAGAATTAGGAAACCCAACTCCATCTAACTTCTAAGTCCATGTTCTCACTTATGTTCTGGGCCAATTTTCCCCCCTCGCCATTCCCTGCACCTGGCACATGTTTGGTCCCAAGTAGGTTGCTTCCTGAATATAAGTATTAAGCCCACCTCAGATCTCTCTCTCATTTGTGAAAAGGGGATGATGGTATTCGCTTTGTAGGTTTGTGGTTCGAATTAAAGATAGATGCATAAAGCATGTATCAGGCTCCCTGAAAAGACAAGATTCACTACTGAGTTTTACACTCAATATTGCATCAGCTCTGAAAAACGGACTTTTGAGAGGGGAGTTTTACTTTGTAATTAAAAAAAAAAAAACAGGTTCAGAACAGGCAAAGTAACTTGCCCATGGCCACACAGCTCCTAAGTAACAAAGCAAGGATTCAAATTCATGCTTGTGACACCGGAGATGGTGCCCTTTCCAAGGCCATTTATAGCCCTCCTCAGCCTTGCAGTCCCCTGGTAGCTTTCAATTATCTGTCTTCCCGGTCTCATCACCTCTCACGGCCACCAATCTTAATTCCCCAGGCTACATCCTAAAAACCTCTTGTCGCTCATTCTTGCTCGCAGAACTGCTTCTGCGAGTCCCCTCGGCCCGCCCTCCAGGGAGAGGCACTCCCCACCGGCCGCTTCTCAGCGCCGGGGCAGGGGCGGAGTCTCGGCCCACGTGGCCCAGAGC